AGTCATTTCAGTTAAGGTTAAAATTGTAATAAAAAATAAATTAATTAATGGTTTGCCTTGAGAGGGAAAGTGGTGTGTAAATAGAATGACCCGCCATGAAGCCTGAAGTGCCTCTTATATGGGTAATTATTCTGTAGTTTGGGAGTAGGGTCACATGGTGCTCCATGACAGTATGATTGGTAGAAAAAGTAAGGTATTAATTATTTGAGTTGGGTGATTGAGAAACATGTGAGGATATAATGAATGGTAATTGATGAGGAAGTATAGTCACATGGTACTCTGACAATACCTAATTATTTTATCTTTTATGTGTAAGAGATATATATATTGTGGTCATGTATTGATAGTTTTTATGTGTTAACCTAGTTGACATATATATATATATATATATATATTCTGACTACCATGCAGTTTTAAACATTACCTTCTCTCTCTCTTTCTCTTTCTTTTTTAATGTAATTTAAGTTGGATGTTTTTGAACTTATTTTCTATCAATTACTTTATTTTTGCCGATAAAAAATAAATAGTAAGAAGGAATACTGTGATATCAAATTAGATAAGAAAGGAAAAGACTGTAAATTGAAAGTATGCCAAACTCATAATACTTATTACATTCATACTAACAAATTTTTTTATTTTATTTTTCAATCCATACGATTAATTTTTTGATAAAAAGTGACATAAAAAATAAATATTATCACACTTAATCAAATTAAGTGTGATTAAAATATCAATATAATTTTTTTTATCACACTTCCAATAAAAGTGAGATCTTTTTTTTTGTCAAAGTGTGATCTTTAACTATTTTTGTAGTAGTGATTACATTCATACTAACAATTTTTTTTTTCAATCCATACGATTAATTTTTTGATAATACCAAAAATACCCTCCATCCTCTCCAACTTGCGAACCTAACCTAATTCTAACCCTAACCATTGCCATCACCATTGTTCGCTACCACCCGCTCTCATGTCGCCTCATTTCTTCTTTGCAACCCTTTTTCCCTCTAAATCTAACCGCCACCATTACCATTGCTAGTCGCCAGTCCTTCTCTCATCCCCTCTCATACTCTCATTGTCATCTTTTATGGTTGCTCCATCCATAGTCTCATCCTCACTCTTTCATCTATTTCCAACCCCTCACCTACCTCTCGTTCATCCTCTATAACCATCATCTTCTCAACTTGGCACCTCTATCATATTCTTTCGTTTTCTTCTTCTTTAAACCCTGAATCTTGATTTCTCTGTGTCTATGTTTATGTGTGCGTTTATGCTTGTGTGCATGCATGGGAGTTGGGGTCACGAAGGATAAGGGTTGGAGTGGTAATGATGGTGCGTCATGGGGGTGGTAGGACAAAATTCAAATTGCAGTCTTGATTTAGAACAAGTAATTGAAGAATTATTGGAACAATTGGACCAATAAAGACCAAGGAAGAAGTCAAATTGAGAGTAATAGCAACACTTTTGGGATAAGCTCGAAATTATTTCAAATTTTGTAGTCAAATCGAAAACAACGTTTCAAACCAAAATCATTGCTACTTTTTCCATAATGCGGTGAATTTTAGCTAAATTCCTTCGTTTAAGCTCTCAAACAAGTGATTTTACCGTTTTACAAAAGTTTCGATTTAGTAATAACTTTATTTTGAGAAGTCCATTTTTAGCGCCGTCTATCTTGGCACGTTTCTATTAATACCTAGTATTCAAATTTGGGCTTAACTCAAATTTTCTATTTTTGATAATTTTCTGTTTATTTATGTGTCTAATTCCTTGTTTCATTGTCTAGTTAGGGTTTCATTCATTATAAATATGGATGTGTACCTTAGGGCAAATCAACTTTTATTCAATATAATTCAGTTTCTTTTTTAGAATTCTTTCTTTCTTGTAAATTCAAGATGTTCTTCGTCTGATAGAATGATAGCCTCGTGAGATATGTTCCACTGCATGAAGTTTGCAGACCATCCATTTATTGATGTCATCAGTATATGTTCAAGAACAAATAGATTTATGTATATATTTTTTTACTCATCTTTACACGAAATAGTTGTAGCAAATAATACTAAATGCCTAATAAATTATAAAAATTTCTTCAAATTATGAAAGGAAAGTAGCCTGTAATTCTAACAAACCTGTTAATTATTCAAAATTTTGCATATCATCGTTCATTTAGGTTGTTAGTATAAATTGTCTTCAATACTTTTAAATTTAAGTACTTGTATTTTTGGTGAATTAAATTTAAACTAATTTACATGTAACCCAAGTAGAATGCAGTAGAAGTTAAATCATTATGTCCAACACCAAAAAGGAAAAGATGAAAGAAAAAAGAATATACAAAAATTTAGGGGTGCATCGGAAGAATATCTGTCCTGACAAAATTTCTCTATATTTTATTTCGGTCTGAAATTAGATTGTACTATTTAATTGAATATTCCTATTTTGAAAATTATTAGGCAGTTTCAGAGTATGGTGTTTCATTTTTTTTACGTGGGTGGCAAATGGGAGAGTTGAACTTGCACCCTTTCCTTACAAGCGCAACTACTTAACAAAAGTGAGTGATCTCTCACTCATAAAATTTTAGGCACCTCCATTGGTTTGGACCACCACATAAGCAATGTCACATGGTGCTCCCGTTATACCCAATAATTACTCTTCTAATCGACGCATAAAAAAATAAAAAATAAAATGAAAGAGTAGGGAAAATAACCAATAAGTCATATTTTGCTCTTAAGATTACTATCAAGTCCTATTAAGTTCAATATGGACAATTAAGTCCTATTTATGATAAAAGGTTCCCAAAATATTCATTGCTCTATAATGGTGTGTCTTGTCCCAATTTTACCTTACCTATTTAATATAAACAACAATTTTATAAATAATGTTAACTTAATTAAAATTTAAAATTTAAATTGTAAAATTTATTAATCTTATACTTATAATTTTGTTAAGGAAAAATCATTTAATTTGAACAATTAAAAATAATTTAATCATAAAATTTCTAATAAATTTAAATTATTTATCAATTTTTTTTTCATATTTTAATGAAAAAGATAAAATGAATATAAAATATACTATTACAAACAATTGAATTTATTTATAACAATTTATACAAAAAAAATAAATTTATTTGTTAATATTGAAATTTGATATAACTCAATAATAATTTTTAAAAGAAAATAGAACTTATTGATAATTTTTCTATTGTGATTTATGATTTTTTTTGGATGTAATATCATAATTTTTACAATTAAATAATATTATTTTATTAAAAATATTTATGAGATTGTTGTTTGTTTTAAATGAGTGATAAAATTGAGATAACATCCACCATTATGAAGCAATAATTTTCTGAAAATATGTTATGAAAAATAAGAATCAGTTATCTATTTTAAAACTTGATTGGACTTAACAGTAATCTTAAGAGTAAAATATGACATGTTGGCTATTTTCCCAAAACAGTATTAACTTATTAACTTCTAACTCATCTGAACATTTTAAATGTTTGAGAATGGGCTCATGTGCGACTGGATTTTCTCCATAAGCGGACCGTACACATAAGTATGGATTCTTCTCCATAAGCGGACCATACACATAAGTATTTTTAATTATCGAGAAAGTAGTGAGATTTTATTGTACGCCTGATACCATCTTAAATTATTAACGACCAAGTTAAAAAAATAAAAAATAAATAATAAAAAAAAACTATTAAAGAGGGATAAATTTATTATTTATATTATATTCTCAACACAATTTTTTTTTCATAGATAAATTACGAATACATCTTTTGAGATTTACTTAAAATATAGATTTCTCCATGTAATTCTGAAAATAATATGCCTCCCCTTCAAGTTTTCAATCAAATAACAAATGACCTATTCTATTAACAAATTATCAAGTTAATTAATAGTTTTTAATGGTGCTATAAATATATTTCTATTATTTATGTAATTTTATTATTGTATTGAAGAGTAGTTAATAATTTTTTTTTTCTGTTAATTCTATAAAATAAAATTTTCTCACAAAGGATATTTGTAATTTCTAAAATCATAAAAAAAATTCGTATTTTATGCAAATCACATTAAGGTGTATCTGTAACTTTGGACAGAAAAGAAAAACCCACACCGTGTTTTTTGTGGGTGTTTCACATCATGGATTCTTCTCCATAAGCGGACCATACACATAAAGTATTTTTAATTAGAATAATGGTTGGGACCCCCTTTTGGGGTCACCCCCTCACCCCCCTTTGCCACGTGGCAGGGGGTGATTGGTGGAGCAGGAAAAAAAAGAAAAAGAAAAAGAAAAAGTGACCAATGAGAGAGAGAGGGGGTCAAAGGGGGTGGGGAAAAAAGGGGGATGGATCATTACTCTTTTAATTATCGAGAAAGTAGTGAGATTTTATTGTACGCCTGATACCATCTTAAATTATTAACGACCAAGTTAAAAAAATAAAAAATAAATAATAAAAAAAAACTATTAAAGAGGGATAAATTTATTATTTATATTATATTCTCAACACAATTTTTTTTGGGATAAATTACGAATACATCTTCTAAGGTTTACTTAAAATATAAATTGCTCAATGTAATTCTGAAAATAATATCCCACCCCGTCAAGTTTTCAATCGAATAACAAATAACTCATTTTATTAATAAATTATCAAGTTAATTAACATTTTTTAATAATATCATAAACATATTTCAATTAACAATTAATGTAATTTTATTATTGTATTGAAAAGTAGTTCATAATTTCAATTTTTTTTTTTGTTAATTTTTTTAAATAAAATTTTCTGATAAGAGATATTTATAATTTTTAAAATTACAATGACAATTCACATTTTAAACAAACCGTGTATTTGAATTTTCTAATAAGGGATATTTATAATTTTTAAAATCACAAAAACAATTCACATTTTAAACAAACCATATGAGGGTGTATTTGTAATTTACTTAAAAAATTATTTTTTTTCTTAAAAAAAAAAAGGGAAGAAAAAAAGAACCTACAACACCGTGTTTTTTGTGGGTGTTTTACATCATCCATGGCACGAAAATATGTTATTTCTCAGTTTATTTGGTAAATTAGACAAACCATTCATCAACATACACTTTCATTCTCTACTCATCAATATAAACCAACAATTAACAGTACTTCTTTCTTAATACAACATTCAGATTACAACTACGATGTCTTCGTCCTTCGCAAACCCTAGGGATGCTTCTCCGTCAGATCATCTGATCCATACCATCTTCACCGTCCCAGCTAGCTTGTTAATCATCTTGATATCGTGTGCGGGTTCGATCTCTTCATCTATGAACCCGTACAAGACAACCCTTTCCGCGGTTAAGGCTTCTATGGCAATCGGTTGCATAGGTGCGTTGTTTGCGATGTTCATGCGCCGCCAGGCGTACCCAGGTGTAGCTCGATATATTGAGTATGTCAGCGGATTAGCTTACGCGATCGGATTCTTGGGTATCGCAAGCATATTCCTCCCTGCAACGATGATCGGTTGGGTTTTGTTGCCTGCCGCTGGTCTGATCTTGATGGCGTTCAAGATGAGGTAATAATGCCTTCTGTTCACTAGGGTTAGCTTTTTTTCTTTTTTATTTTGTGGCTTTCAAATGCTCTAATCTAAATTATTATATGCTTTTATTATTGCGCATTAACTTTGTCGGACACCTCTTTAAATTAGGCAGAACCTCACTGATAATCTAACAAAGATAACCTGTACGATGAAGTACAGAGATGGGATTGGACGTTGCAAAAGTAGTAAAAAAACAGTCACCAATTTTCCAATAATATACAGTTTTTATTCTATTTGGAAATGATGGCTCCACAACTTCATTTTTTAGGATGTCAAACACATCTCAAATAAAATTTCTATAAGATACTATGTGGATATTTGAAAAATTATTATTTTAGTAGGTTATTTAGTTTTTGACAATTTTAATAGGTTAAAATTTTTGTGTTTGGAAAGATGATTGGATTTTTTTACGGTTAGATGTGATATTTGTGAGAGAAAAAATAAAATAATTATGCGTTAGATGTGTCATTTTATTTTATTGATTATTTTAGTATATTTTATCTTTTTGTGAATTTTAACTTAAAAGAGACTAACATTTTTCTTGCCAAACACTCCCCATAAATCAAATACTAACAAAATCTTTTTTATTTGTGGCTTTCAGATGCTCTACTCTAAATTAACATATGCTTTAATTATTGCGCATTAACTTTGTCGGACACCTCTTTAAATTAGGCAGAACCTCACTGATAATCTAACAAAGATAACCTGTACGATGAAGTACAGAGATGGGATTGGACGTTGCAAAAGTAGTAAAAAAACAGTTACCAATTTTCCAATAATATACAGTTTTTATTCTATTTGGAAATGATGGCTCCACAACTTCATTTTTTAGGATGTCAAACGCATCTCAAATAAAATTTCTATAAGATACTATGTGGATATTTGGAAAATTACTATTTTAGCAGGCTATTTAGTTTTTGGTAATTTTAATAGGTTAAAATTTTTGTATTTGGAAAGATGATTGGATTTTTTTATGGTTAGATGTGATATTTGTGAGAGAAAAAATAAAATAATTATGCGTTAGATGTGACATTTTATTTTATTGATTATTTTAGTATATTTTGTCTTTTTGTGAATTTTAACTTAAAAAAGACTAACATTTTTCTTGCCAAACACTCCCTATAAATCAAATACTAACAAAATATACATATATTATAAAGGTATAACCTGCTATACTTAGACACTCAGGCCTCTTCATTAGGAATGACTTTCCTCCATACTCTTTCATACTTTATTTAGGCTTCATTCTAGGCCTATATTGATAATTTAAACTGTTCATCTATTCTAATAATTTAGATGAGCTATGTAAAAAATTAATTTCATCGGATATCACTAGATATATGAATAAATTGTATCTAGTTTTTTAAAATGGATTGTGAGTTTAAACTTTCATTCTATAAAATAAAGAGTGTTTTATTTATGTATTCATCGATATCTAATGAAACTAATTTTTTACACAGACGGTCTTCATTGTGAGATTTACAAGATGAACGGTTTAGATTATCAATGTAAACCTAAAATGGAGCTCAAAAAATAAAATATGAAGAAGTATGGCGAATAATGTATGGGAAGGAGCCATACACCATTTCACTACATTGTCCGAACTAGAAATTTACTCCACGATAAGCTTGTTAAGTGTGATTAAGTTATGTAAACATTAGTTAGAATTCAGTTGGTTGTAGCTTAAAAGCCAGCTTATTGGCTAGAAAAGCCTAAACCTCATTGGCAAACTCATTTCCAGCAACAACACGCACATACACACACATACTAGTACAACACCTGTAGTGCATGTGCCATTAGGCGATTTGTGGCAACCTTTGAAGATGGTTTGATCAAATTTGTGTCTTTCGTTTTCGGTTTGTTTTAATATTTGGAATTTGGAATTCGAATTTGAAGCTTGGATTTGGAATTTAGAATTTTCTTTGGTTTTGGAGGTTGCTCGATACTTCAAAATTTGTTTAGAATTCAGTTGGTCAACATTTAGTTTTAGTTCGTTTGAATGAGAGCTTGTTTAGTTCTTTTGAAGTTTTCTCTACTCTCTTATGTTATTGGTGGAGCCTAAAACCTAATCAGACTAGACAAAGGAAACAAGGAAATTAGTGTTTGGTTAGTTTTGCACTCTAGACTATTTCCTTGTTAATTGAAGTTTTTCTTTCTTAGTTTAGGTTTTGGTTTCCTTATTAATTTAAGATTGGGTTTAAGGCTAGCCCTATAAATACGCTCATGTAGCTCTATGTTTTTTTAATTCATTCATTAGTTTTATGATTTTAGATAGAGATACACAATAGTGAGAATGAGAGATAGATCATTGTAGAGAGAGAGTTTGTGAGATTGAGTGTGAGAGACTCTTGTAACTCCTATCATATTGATCTTGGTAAATCCGCAATATCTCTGTGGGCGTAACTTGTGATTTGGGTGAACCGCATAAATCTCTTGTGTTGCTTTATGAGTTTATTTTTTCTGTTATTTTACTTCTCTGATCTAGATTCGTTGTGTGCGTGATTGTTTGATCAAGTCTTGGAGTTTGGTATTAATCATATACACCATAACAAGTGGTATCATAGCGTTGGTTCCTAGACCAAGAACGATAGCAGACAAAGGCAAAGTGAAAATCAAAAAATTCAGCAGTTCAAACTTCGGATTGTAGAAGATGTAAATAGAGGATTATCTCTATCAGAAGGATCTTTATCTTCTTCTCGCAAGAGTAGCCAAAAAGCTGAAAACGATGAAAATTAGTTAATGGAAGTTACTCAACCGAAAAGCTTTGGGTATAGTAAGGCAATCCCTTGCTACATCAATTGCGTTTAATATTCAACGAGAAGACAACCGATGATTTGATGGCTACCTGTAGCTCGACTTTTTCGCGCCCCATTTTCGGAGAGCTCGAATTGGTCCTACAGTTCGGACTCCTGTCATGGTTCTGAATCTAATCTCACAAAATATAATGTGAGACTGATAAACACCAAAAAGTCCAATCTGACAAACATTTTTGAAAAATCAGATTTTGAATCAAATAATGCCAAAACTGGACTGCTTTGCCAGATTACAGAGTCGCCACCTAAATATTTTGTTTTGGAAAATTGAGGAAACCCTGACTCGTGCCAAAGGCCACGTGTCCGTCATCACCAAAGTTGCCTCAGCTCGGGAGCTTGGGTATGAGAGGGGAAGGTCCTAAAATAAGCACCCCCGCTCGCCCGATCAAAGATCGGCCTCTACTATCATGATATGTTGTTTTAAAAACCTCATATGTTCTTGTTCCGGTTATTTAATCTAGCTTTATTATGTGACGCACACAAGCAAGTATAGACTAAGTTGCGAGATTTGGAACGAAATCAACTCATGTTTATTTTCGAAAATGGTTTGAAAATGCCAGTGGGCTAAAGCGTGGATTTGCCATCAAACATGATGGGCTTAAAACATGATTCGCCACTTCGCAAAGGGGGCTTAAAACATTCATTCGTTGAATTGTTCCAATTTAGGCAACCAAACCTTCATCCACAGGCATTCATGCAGTTTAGCATATAAGCACATAGCCTCATGGCAAGCATGCTATCATGGCATCATGGCAATTGCACTCATGCAAGTATGCTAAAGCGTAAAGCTTACCGAGTACTCCAAGCCAAAACAAAAGCTAGTTAGAAATATGCATGATCCTAACTATACAACATGCCTAATGCAACAAATGCAACATAAAATTAATAGGATCGGCTACTAATATGGCATTTGATTTGCACACTTTGATAGCATGCTTTGAAACACGTATTCAAAGAAGTATTGAAATATGATACAGTTTGAATGATGCGCTGAGCCTCGGTGCATGAAAGACAAATGAATGATGCAAACATACAAGCATAAGGTATGCTAATCGAAACATGACCCTAAACTAACCATCGTAAGCAGTTAAGTAAAAGGGAGAAAGACGTGAGGTTGGAAGACATTCACACACACACACACACACTTATTACAACAAATGCCCTCGCGAAGGAGGGTCCGAATGAATAAGCTAAGCTACACTAAGCTAAGCTAATTATTGCAAAATGAACTAATTAACTACACTAGTTAACTAATTATTACAACACAATTGAATAACCAGTTATGCTACGCTTATTAAAATAATACAACTTTGATTTGATTAACTAGTTACACAAACTAATTAAAGCAATGAAATGGCCTTGCGGGCGAGGAAGACATGCATGCTCGGTAGGCCTCCTCCCGAAAATCCATCGCCTTGCCATCGGCTGCCTCTGTTTTCACCTTCTCTGTTTTCTGACCATCGAACCAACTTCCCGACTGTTACTGCTTCAAAGCAGGAACACTTTGCACAAAAAAAATGGACTGGTGGCCGGTCGGCCACAGAAGGTGGTTGGCAGCCACCTTAACTGGCCGGTCGGCTTGTCTAGGTGGCCGGTCGTCTACCTCAAGTGGCCGGTTGGCCACCCCGTTTTCCTAACTCCTGCTTTTGCTACAACAGAGAACAACAGAGGCAGAGCAATATATCTTACAGAAAATGTGTATACTGCCACCCTCCTTATCATTTCTCAAGCTCAAAAGAGTATGGCACTTGGCTCTCAAGCCACCAATCAAGCATTTTCATGCATGATAGCCAAAGAACCAAGTGTGTACAAGCTTTATGAATGCACACATAAGACTCAAATGGCCACCACCCTATCATGCATGATCAAGGCTAATGGTGACCAAGAAAAAGTGACACGTTTCATAACTTCGAGTATGAAACGTCCCATTTCTTGTGTTTGGATTAATGTCCGATCCAAACAGATGCAATGCAAACACAACATGCTTATCTTGGTCATGTGTTACTTATTCAATTTTGTTTACACATTTTACATTACCAAGTCATTCTTTAATCGATTAAGTCCAATGTGAAAGTCCTCTAATGGGAGAGGGGTCAACCAAAGGATGATTTAAGACTTGAGAGAGATCATGCCTTTGGCTAGGAGGAACCCTCAAAAGAGGGT